TACCTGCCTAGCAGCACAAGCAGCAACCAGTAGTACTCTGTTTCTCTGCTATCTACTTCCTATTCTCCCTCTCTCTCACGGTGGATGGCATAGCAGCACAAGCAGCAGATCCCGTCGCCGCGTGCGGTGCTTGCTGCTCAAGCACAGAGCAGTAGCACGGCGGAGCTTGCTGACCTGCCCAACCAGCGCACGAGCAGTGCTTGCTGCTCCAACCGACCGTAGCTGTGCGGATCTATCTTCTCCCCCACGATGGGATTTAGTAGATGCGGTCTCTCTCTCCTAGTCTCTACAGCTACTAATACGATTGGAGGATGGGCATACCTGGTTGACGATGGAGCCGGCACGGCAGCGTCGGAGACCGACGGCGTCGACGCATAGTAGGCACGAGCGGAGATGTCCGAGCGCGCGCAGGCTCGCGGCGGTTGCTCCCGCCGTGGATGAGGGATCTCGTGCGGTCCCCTACATGTGAGGGATGGGAGGCGATGGATGATGGTCTCTCATCGGGTGGGAGTCGGATGAGGGATCGGTTGGAGAGCTGTTTTTACAGTTTGACCCTCAAAAGATGGATATGGGGCTGAGTGAGGGATCGGTTGGAGATGCTCTAACGGATTAGATATGCATATGCTCACCCCTTTTGCAAATTTGCTGCTTATGTGATCCCTTTCTTAAGAAAACTGCACTGATATGTTAGTGCTAGGATAGAGTGTTTCTGACACTCACTTTACAAAGGTTTACTATATATGGCTGGGAACTGCTTAGATTATACAGAATTGACAATTCCATACTCCGTGTTGAATTGATGTCAAACAGGAGACATAGCTGGTGTTTAGCTTCTCTAATGCTTCCAGTTTAGATCCAATTGATTGGTCGTAAATGAGCTGAATTTTGATGGGATTTAGTTTCAGTCTGAACTTCAGCTCGTCTACAGTACCCTCACTCAAACAGGTGTGTGGATTTGTGACTTTGCAAAAATTATTCACATACTAGGAAAGAAGCATCTTTGTAATTATGATTTGACATTCTCTTTGTTTTTGTGAGTGATGCATGCAGTTTTATGGTTTGTAAAACATCACTATGAGCCTTCAACATTCTAGCAAGGAACTATCTCATTTGATATTGTGAGCTAAGTATGCAGTTTCACTGACACATTCTCTTGTCCCTGCTAGTTTGACAGTAGTAAGAGAGTTTGGTACATTTTGATAGGAATCAAGGGCATTACATGTCCATTTTCATGTGCATCGACACCGCATATATATGAATCTTTGAGTTAGCTATTTGATTCATGATAGGGAAGCTGATTGAGCCATTATGATCATATAAGTTTTATATGTATGGAAATGATCATGGAACTTATTCGCTGCAACTTGCATGTTCATATTCAGTAATGGCAAGGAACACCTATTGCATTCTCTTAGGTATCACTTTTGCTATTTTACACTGCAGGCGTTGCAATCCTTTCGTAAGAAGATTTCATGGATTTCAGAATGCAATAAGCGTTGGGAAGGAGCACAACAAGCAAGCCCTATTTGCTTCAGGCAGAGATTCTCCTAGCTCCGGTGATGATGGCTCGAGTTCTCCAGATGGCCCGCCTGTCCTGACTATTGTGGCAGGTGTCATTGTGTTCCTTCTTGTACTCTGGGTTATTGGGTCGATCGCTACCTGGATTGTGGGTTTGGTCTTTGGCGCAGCGAAATCTTAGATGGTGGATTGTAGGCTAGTCATCAGGTGTATATACTTTATCCGTGCTACCGTTCGGTGCTTAAGCCTTGAATAACTGCATTTGCTGCTATTTTCTTACTGAAAGTCACGGATAATTGCAATTGTGTTTCGTGCTGTTATTACAATTGAGATGAGACTGCTTAGAAAACCTCGTACTACCTCTGTTCTGAAAAGAATACAACTATAGAATACATGTCAGTTAAAGTGCTTCACGTTTGACTAAGTTTATAGTAAATAGTATTCACATTTATGGCTTCAAATTAATTTATTATAAAAATAGATTTCGTAATTAATCTAATGGTGTTTATTTGATATTGTAAATATTTATGATTTTTTATCTATAATTGGTTAAACTTGGTATACTAAAACATGACACTGTTCTAGAATTGTATTCTTTTAAAGATGGAGTGAGTACTGGTCATTGAATATTGGAGCCTGTACAAATGCAAGCGCATCCTGGCCAATTCATTTTTGTTTTCCTGTGTTGCAGAGCAACGATGTTTTGCATGCCCTTTTTCTAGCTAGCAGGGTACAAGCACACAATCTGTTTTCGCGTGATTTGTGATTAGAGTACAAATGGTTTGAACTCGTCACGATGCCAATGCATCACTTTAGACTGTCTCCAACAGTGCTGTAAACCGTGACTCAAACGCAAAATAGGTCATTCATAGTGTTTTGCCTAAAAAACAACGCTCCAATAAAAGACCCAAACGCCTCACCCATTTTGCATACGAGGCTCGAGAGAACGCAAATCTGCGTCGTTGAGACGGAAGCCCAACCCGCCCGCAGCCCCGCATGCACGCGCGAGGCCATCGCCCTCCTTCCCCCGCAGGCCTCACCCTTCCTCCGTCCCCCAGATGGAACCAAAGAGGAGGCAGCAACCACTGCACGCCACTGCGGTGCTAGGAGCTAGCGGAAGCGCCGCCCCGAGAGAGGGAGGCCAGAGCAAGGAGGAGATCCGACGGCAGAGCAGGTCGGTCGGAGATGGGAGTCCCGGCGTTCTACCGGTGGCTAGCGGACCGCTACCCGCTTACGGTGTCGGACGCGGAGGAGGAGGCCCGTGGAGCTCGAGCCCGGCGCAGGCAGACCGCTGTGGGGAGCCAACACGGCGAGGTCCGCCTCGAGGCGCTGCCGGCGGGTACCGCGGCGAGGCGGGGAGCGGGGATCCGGGGTCCTCCTCGCCCGCGACCGCTGGATCCGGGAGGGAGGGGCGCCGTGCTCAACGAGAGAGGGACGGAAACGGGCGGCGAGGTCCGCCTCGAGGCGCGGCAGGCGGGTACCTCGGCGAGGCGGGGATCCGGGGTCCTCCTCGCCCGCGACCGCCGGATCCTGGATGGAGGGGAGGGAGGGGTGCCGCCGCCGGCCAGATCCGGGAGGGAGGGGCGCCGTTCTCAACGAGGGATGGGAGAGAGGGAGGGGCGGCGCCGGGGTAGAGAGGGAGAGAGGGACGGGAACGGGCGGCACAGGGGAGAGAGTGAGGAGAGAGGGACGGGCTTTTGGGTAGGCTGTTGGAGAATGCGAGTTTTGGATGTGTGATCATTTTACTATACGTGACCCAAACTATGGAATGGGTATTTGATTTGGCTCTGTTGTTGGAGATAGCCTTACTGTGGGCTGGTGTCGCTTTTAGCTTTATCTATAGTGCTTCGTACAGCTATAACTGCATTTCGTACATGTCTGGTCCGAGGTGGCTTTGTTTGCCGTTTGTTTGTAGTCTGAGCCTTCTCCCCAAGATCCCAATTCCCTCTGGAGACAACAGCTGAATGTACACATGTACAAAGTTTGCTGCTGTAAGATCACTTCTCTACTGCGCTGCACGAATGGGCGCCAAACAGGAGGCAGTCAACCAAGCTAGCACTCTGCATTGTCTGCAACGTCCCGTTCCTATACAGCTGCCAGTCTGCCACACCTGGATGACACGGTAGGCGATAGCAGAAAACTTTCGTTGAGCTCTGGAGCGCAAGAATAGAGAGAAAAATCTGGTACAGTGCAAACTCGTGGAGTGAGCTTGCTGTCAGCTGTCCCCGTGAGGCCAACAGGCCATGACGAGACCAACAAGTTCCATGGCACTGCTCACCAATCAGGCCACCATCCATTCGTGCCATCGCTGTCGTGTGTCGTCACGACTCACGAACGGGCGTGATCGTGATCGCTCCTAACGGCCCGAATCATCAAGTGCTGGCTGTTGATTTCCGGCCGTTTTTAGTCACGGGAGAAACTAGCCCGCCCATCCGACACCCCGTCAGTCCGGACAGCAGGCAGCAGCGCCAGCGCTAGCGCTTGGCTGGACAAAATACTCGTGGCTTGTTAACTCGTTCGACTTGTGTTCGACTCAGCTTGATTCGGCTTGTTTTAATTTTTTCGCGAGCTAAACTGAAAGTCTAGCTCGCTGTTTTAACGAGTCAGCTCGAGTTAGCTTGTGAGCTGCTCACGAGCTCAAACGAGCTGAGGCCTATCAACCCTTGATCATGAATCCAGAAGATGATAATGCTGACATAAAAGTGTACATCTATTATATTGATATGTAATCCTTATTTTCAACTGTTTCATATGAATTTTGATTTATAATTGTTGTAGTACTTCAATATTGATTTATGGATTATTTTTCAGGGAGAAAATGATGATGCTGACATTGAATTTATGTACTTCGCTAAGTCTGTGGTGGCAAGCAACTAGTAAGTATCCTGGAATTGCATGGATCATGGATGGACCAGATATGTTGCATGGTTGATACTTTTGATGAACCTAATATGTATTAATCATGTATGGTGCATAATGACGGACGTCACCTTCTGGAATTACTGTGACATGAACATTATAAATATATGTGTCATATTTTTTTATAGCCCGCGAGCTAAACAAGCTGGTCCAAACTCACTAACGAGCCGAGCTGAGCTATCCCTCTAGCTCGTAATATTAACAAGCTGAACCAAACCGAGCTGACTTATTAGCCTAACAAACAGCTCGAGCTGGACCGAGCCGAGCCGAGAGCTCACAGGGGACGGTGGTCCAGCGCGCTGCCGATGCAGACCGGCAACGTCGCGCGGGCGCGGGCACGTGAGATCCACACCCCACACCGCACCCGCTTTCCCCAACGGCTATATTCCACCCTTCCCCCACCAAAACCCCCGCATTTAAATCCGCCGCGATCTCCCGCCGCTCTCCTCCCCGCATCCCACCCCGACCACCTCGACCCAGCCCTTCCCTCCGCGCTCGCCGGCCGACGCACTGCTTGCTCTCATCTCCATCCAGCACCTGTCTCCTGCCACTGCCAGCCATCGATGGCGCCGCCGCCGCAGCCGCAGAAGCAGCAGGCGCCGCCGCCGCCACAGGTGTCGGTACAGCACGTGGGCAGGGCGTCCTCGGACGAGCTCCTCCGCAAGTTCGCAGACCCGGATGCGAGCCGCCCCGCCGCCACCCCGCCGCCCCGCAGCCTCGCGCTGCGCCGCAAGCGCTCGTCCCGCCGCGTGGCGTCGGGGCTCTCCGCGCGGGACTCCGACGCGTCGGCGGCGGCCGCGGGCTTCACGGGGGTGGAGCTGGCGCCGCCCAAGCGGCGGCGGAGCATCGGCGGGTCCGCCGATTGGAGGGCCGGCCTGCTCCTGCCCACCTCCACGCCCGCCGCCTCCGCAAGGAAGGCCCAGGCACGCCGCGCACGCGCCGACGCCGCCGCGGGCATCGGCCTCCTCCTCGCCGCGCTGGAGCGGGTGAGCTAGCTAGCTGTCTCCTGTCTCTATAACTTCTTCAGATTTCCCCTCTCTTTTTTCCCTCTTTGCACTGGGCATTGTCTGATTCGGGATTGCTTTGCCGTGCGTTCGCAGACGTGGAGGAAGACGGTGGCGGGGGCGTCCAAGATGTTCGTGGAGAGGCACCGGACCAACCACGTCCTGCTCATCAGCGACATGGTCTGAGCACACAGACTCGGGCCACGCAAGCCGGCTGGCACTTCCTCTCTCGTCGAGCACTCTGCTCGGTTTGATTGCTGAAAATTTTCATTCGTTGGATTGACCATTCTTTTAAGAATTATATTAGGTAGCAGAATAAACTGGCAGAGAACAATGGGGGCTCAACTTTGCTAGCTGGTTCCTCATTCCCTGCCACTTGCCAGTGTGATTTTCCTCGTGTTCGTTTGTGAGTTTTCTCCGATGACGATTCATCGTGTCTGCGACCACGTTGTAAATTGAAGTTTGCAAACTACGTTACCAGTGTTGTGTTGTGCTAAGAAATGGATTTACACCATTCAGTGTACTGTTTTATATTTACTTCTCTTATTAATAGTGTGCATCACCCTGGTCAGTAATAATCAGTATACGTTTTTTTTTGAGAAAGAATAATCAGTATACGTGTGCTGTGATTAGCATTTGTTAATTATTGGGCTTGCATCTTAAACCAGATAATGGGCCTCGTGGGCTCAGTCCACATATTGTGTTCTTACATTTCGGCCCTGTTCTGGAGTATACACATGTAAGGCCTGTTGCACCTCCCTTGCTGACGTTGACTAGTGCTAGTATGAAACTTTGTTTATCTTCAACTCTTGATACCCAAATTGTTACCTGAGGATGAACAGAAAACACACTGTCTGGAAAATTCATGCATCTGACGCGATCCTTGCGTCCACAGTCCAAAGGACACCCACTAGAGATGCAAAGATATTGTAGTTCCAATCTCCGACGGTATTGCTTTTGCTTTGCAGCTTCAGATTGTGCGCCAGAAAGGCGCTTTAGGTTCTTTATTATCACTTATGCCTTCTCTTTTTCCAGAACACGGAGCAGGATCACCTCCTCATCCGCCTTTTAATCCGTCTCTGCGAGAGCGGTTGCTTTTTGTCTTCTCTAGCATCTTCGTACGAGCTTTCACTAGCTGATTTAACATGACCAGCTCCGAAAGGCCGAGGCAGATTATGTTCGGTTCATTGTTCAATGATTGATCCCTGCACTCAGCAAAGAGGTAGCAAACCCCCTTCACTAAGCAAAACATGCATGGCTCAAAGTTCTACAGCCAACTATTTATTCTGAGCACAAAGACTCAAAGTCGTCTTTCCCTGGGTGTGGTGTGGGGTCTCTCTTTACATTGGCCGCATTGATCCATCGGTGAACCTGACTTGTGGATTGGTAAGGATCGTGACACCTGGATTAAAAATCTGAGTCGCCACCTAAAGCAAAGCAAGAAACGAAGTCGGACACGTCGGTTCGTCCCTATGGCGACACTAATCCAAACATGACAAGATTATTATAGAGTACAGATACCACTAATACGTAGCTTTCGCCAAAGTTACATACAGTTGGCGCACTCGATCGTCCGAACTGGACCGGACGATCCTGGTGGTAGTCCGAGAAAAATCATTGCTTCCTTTCGGCCGGCTGGCCACTGGGACACGGGGTTCCACACCGAAAGAGCCACCCGATTTGGCGTTGCACCGGACGGCACGCAAACAGCACACAGTGGTTAGAGCTGGTTACTAATTCTAAGCTAACATCTCTAATAAGAGTCAGACTAATAATATAGCCAACTGCTAGATGTATGAATTCTTACAGCCTACCTCTCAGCATATCTATATAGTAATTACATCTTCACTATTAATACGTGGTCTATTTGTCTCTCTTACAGAGTTTTTTAGTTTCTGTGGTCAAGCCAACTGTAAGCTTACAACCCGCTTCTCATTTTCTTTCTCCGCCACCTTAGCATTTATCATGCTTGCAACCCTTATTATACTTGCTCTAATGCTAACTTTTAGCACATAGATTTTAGCATAGATAAACCCACATGACACTTTTATATAACCTTGAAATATGTGCAAGAGCTCAGCTCTGAATTAAGAGCTAGCTTTTCTTTCTCTTTTATTAAAATATAAGAAAAATATTTAGATCTAGCTTATAAACAATTGTTGGAGCTGTCCTAACGGCATTGCTACAGCTGCGCGAGTCGGAATCGTGGAAGGCGGCTGGTCAGTTACGCGAACAACGTCGGCACCACCGGACAGGCGCGGCCCGGGGCCGGGGCCGGGGCCGGAGACAGACGCCGCGCCGCTCTCTCGCAGCTTTCACGTCGCGTCGGGCGAAGCTGAGCCTTCTATCCTCCCCACCAAACCCACCGGAAATGGCAGCGCGTGGGTATAGGTTGGGGCTTGGGTCCCGACGTCCCGTCTTTGGGTGGGCCGGCCGGCGCTCGAGTCCAGGCGTCCAGCCGGTCGACGTCTCCTGATCCGCGATCCCTCCCCTCGGCTTCTGCAAGCAAAGCAAGGCTGGCCGACGCTTCGCAGCGGTTACTAGAGACCCTGGCCGGTGGAGTCATCCGGAATGATTCCTGGACACGTGACGCGACGCACATCAGACCTCCATCCCTTCGATGCCATTTGCCATCCATGCACCCTGACCGATGATGCTCCGTGCCTCCTCTGCACGGCGCCGAAGCGTGGACGACCATGCCCGCGATTTCGCGAATCACAGGTCCATCGCTGCAGCATGGAGGGCTGATATAACGGTGTTGAGGGGCCGGGTGTTATACGGAAGTTGATGTACACCACTCGCATCACACATAGAATTTTTTTTCCCGATTCCTGGTGCTTTCTCCTCCATGGAGGGTCAGCTTATTTTAGCACAGCATCGTACGTACGACCGGACTCTTCTTGGTTAAAGTTTATATTCTACGGAACATATTCTATTCTGTGACAGGATTGGCTAAAAGAAGCATCAAAGGCCTGCCACCAAATCAATGCAAGATCAATTGTTATTATAAAAAATAAATAAATGCATGATCAATAGTACCATAGCCTGAAGCAAGGCCAGACCACACTGCTACTCGAGTACAGCAAGTAGCAATATCTCATCTCGGAAAGGGACTGACGATCCAGCAGGGTCTTCGTCGTCCTGTCCGAGGCGAAGTTGCCACCTCCGTCCGTGCCAGTTATTATGGTACTGTTCTACAGGTCGTTGGTGGCTTCTTTTACAGCCCGACCTGCATAGTTACATAGCCATAGCGCAAAGCACACGTCACGGTCGCCGTCCAGAAGTTATATCGGCACCTTTCTTTCTGGCGCGCGCTTAGCCCATTCATCACGACGCTTCTCTGCATGATGACGAAGCAATAAATCATTTTCGTTAATTTCCGTGTGTGTCATCAGCAGGTCATCTTCAGCAGTCCATTCTGTTGCTCACCGAGCAAATTGGGCGGTTAGGCTAGCTGCACACGGCTCTGCACCAAAGAAACCCACTCTGGAACGGAACGGATATCAATACATACTATCAGCCTGATCGCTGGGCTGGGGCTGGCTGGGCTGGCTGCCCAGCCCTCTCACATGGCTACTATTTACGCGAACCAGTCAGCAGTACTTCTCTCTCACATAAACAAACCAGCAACGATACGAACCAGCCAACCGAACAGGCTGTATATACGAGCACAAAATTAAACCTCCTTAGATTCAGTTGTGATGATGATGATGATGGTATCGGTAGGTGAAGAGGTTCCAGTGTAGCAGACAGCGATCGGTAACGTGCCCTGCAGCTGCCGTGCGGTGTGCGCTCGGTAACGTGTCCGGAAGCCGTGCGCTGTGCCGGCCCGGTGCGCTGCGCACCGTGCCGTGCCCTCGCAGATCGCGGAGGACGCCATCGCGAGGCGGCCCGATCGCTTGGCAACGACGCGAAGCCCACCCGGCCACCCGCCTTTTCACGCGCGCCTCCGCCGAAACCGCCGCGCGCACGCACCCCGCCAGTCCACGGCCTCGCCGTCTCCAGTCTCCTCTGCTGCTGCTGCTGCAGAGGTCCAGGTCCAGTGGCAGGGGACGGTAAATAGAGCCCAGTTTCCGGCCCGGATCCCCACCCCCTCAGCTTCCCGGTGTCGTCTTCCCACTCCCCCCTCCCTCCCTCCCAACGTCCCACCGCAGTACCCCACACCACACCCACAGCTCGCTCTCGCGCTTGCTCTCTCCTCCCTCCCAACACAAAACCCTCTCGTCGTCCCCAACGCAACGGCCAACACCGCTTCGCCTCGACCGCGACGATCACCTCCCCCGCGCTGAGGTAACCCCTGGCCAGCTCGCCGCCGCCCCTCCAGAAGCTCCCGCCGCGGGTTTTCCTGCGCGTCGGCGGCCGTACACGTCGATCGCGGTGGTTTTCGCTCGAGAGTACAGGCGGATTGGTGGGCGCACTTCCCGTGTGTCCACGACTCCACGTGCGCGAGGTGCGGAAACCGCTCCTCCCTCGCCTTGTCTCTCATTACTGCCGTCGCCGGAAGGTTCTAGCTAGTTCGGTTCCCCCCTCGTCCTCTGCCTTGCTGCGTTGCGAGGAACTGACGGAATCATCCTTCGTTTGATCTCTGATTGACGCATGGCTCCGTGGTGTTCCGCGGGCCGCGTGGTTGTGTTGTGTTGTGCACCGCGAGAGCGGGGCGTGGTTGCGGCCGATTCCATGCAACAATGGGATTGGGACAAGGCTTCTGAATTTTCTCAACTGAATAGGCGCGATTGTGCTCGTAGGTTGGTCTGGGTATGCGACGAGGCTCAAGTTCTAGAAGATTCTACCAACCTAGTAGTGCGTTTTTGTTTTTTTGGTCGGTAGATGACTGCTGTGTACAGTTTCCTTTATTGGTGTCTCTGATCATGTTGCCAGGTTCTTGAGCGCTGCATGCGCGCGCCACCAAAAGCTCTGTGCTGGATTTCTGAATCTTCAAGCATGGGCTAGCTGCCTAGCTTCAAAACGGGGCCTCCATTCCAAGTGGTTGGTTGATTCGTCTCAGCAGCATCAAGTTGTTGTACCGAGTGACAGCAAGGTACCACATACATCTCTGTCATTTACTGATTAAAGACTTACAGTGCGTTCTGAAAGCATTTCACACGCTGGATTCACCTCAAGGTTTAGGGTGGTGACTGCAAGTCACCGAGATGACGTCCTTGTCGCGGACGCTGTCTCGGGGAGGG